TAAGTGAAAGATGGACGCTTAACCGACTAAGCCACCCAGGCGCCCCTCTGAGGATCCTTTCTACAAATATTCTAGACCCATTAGGGGGTTTCCACCTTTTTTTTTTTTTTTTAATATTCATTTTTGAGAGACTGAGTGTGAGTGGGGGAGGGGCAGAGAGGGAGACAGTGTGAGTGGGGAGCAGAGAGAGGGACATACACACAGATTCCCAAGCAGGCTTCAGGCTCTGAGGTGTCAGCACAGAGCCCGACGCGTGGCTCGAACTCATGGACCACGAGATCATGACCTGAGCTGAAATCAGACAACCGACGGAGCCACCCAGGCGCCCCAGTGGGTTTCCACCTTTTGACCATAAAGGACTTGCAGTCATTCTTTTTCCCTCTAAGACAGTGATTCCCAGCTTTTACAATGACTTCTGGAATGAGAAACATTAGATTCAATTTGAATTCTAAGAGAAATGAAATACTAAGGAATAAGATTTTGTGGGGTGGAGTTCACCCTTGAAGGGCTATAAACTCTTGTGATGTGGAGAAGAACCTTTTTCACCTCCCCCCTCCCCTCTCTCGCCCTCAAACCAGTTTTTTCCCCACTTTGAGGGCTATATGGTCCCCACTGAGAATACCCGCTTTGAGGACTCCAGGTTTAGAATAATAAGACTGCCTCTCTGTGGACCAGGTACTTTGTGCGTTACTGCCGTTTATCTTTCCCAGTAACCTTCTGAGGTAGGTAGTCTTCCCATTTCTGCGTTACAGATAGGAAACTCTGTAGAGAGAGTTTGAGAATTCTCTCGAGCACAGAGAATTTGAGTAACTTGCTCGGGTCACACAGCTATGAGCCAGAGGAGCCAGGACTCAGTTCCGGAAGTTGGGTTCTGGAGTCCTCCCACTGTCTATAGTGCGGAAGTAAGCAAACTACCTTGGTTCTTTTCCTTTTCCTCTTTGAAACTGAGCTATAGTTCCCATGCCCTGAACCTCATCCTTTTACAGTATACAATTATAATTCATTAGCTGTACGGTCATCACCGCTATCTAATGCCATTTCATTGTGCCCCAAAGAAACTACGTTTCCGTCAGCAGCCGCTCTGCACTTTCCCATCCCTGGCCTGGCAACCCGTAATCCACTTTCTGACTGTTCAGATTTGTCTGTTTGGATGGTTCATATACATAGACGTGTGTAACATGTGACCTTTAGTTATTGGCTTCCTTCACTTAGCATCACGTATTCAAGATGCAACCATGTTGTGACATGTAGGTGTGACATGTGACCCTCACCTACATGTGACATTCATTCTTTTTCACAGCTGAATGATACTCCACTGGATATGGATAAATACATTTTGTTTATCCCTCCATCTGTTGATGGACATTTGGGTTGTTTACACTCTTCGGTTATTGTGATGAATGCTGCTGTGGACACCTGTGTACAACTTTTGTGTGTGGACATATATTTTCAGTTCCTTTAGTTACATACTTAGGAGTGGAATTGCTTGGTCGCTTGGTAATTCTGTGTTTAACTTTTTGAAGATCTGTTAAGCCTTTTTTCTTAATGTTTGTTTATTTTTGAGGCTGGGGCAGGGGAGGAGCAGAGAGAGAAGGAAACACAGAAGCTGAAGCAGGCTCCAGGCTCTCAGCTGTCAGCACAGAGCCCGACTCAGGACTCAAATTCATGAGCTGTGAGATCATGACCTGGGCTGAAGTTAGATGCTTAACTGACTGAGCCACCTGGGTGCCCCAAACCTTTTCCAAAGAGACTGCACCATTTAAAAAAATTTTTTTTTTTAATGTTTTATTTATTTCTAGGAGAGAGAGAGAGAGAGACAGCGTGAGCAGGGGAGGGTCAGAGAGAGAGGGAGTCACAGACTCTGAAACAGGCTCCAGGCTCTGGGCTGGCAGTCCTCACAGAGCCCGATGCGGGGCTCGAACCCACGAACCGCGAGATCATGACCTAAGCGAAAGTCGGACGCTTAACCAACTAAGCCACCCAGGCGCCCCGAGACTGCACCATTTTAGGTTTCTATCAGCAATGTTGTAGGCTTCTGATTTTTCAGCATCCTCCATAATACTTGTTAGTACCCATCTTTTTTATTATATCTGTCCCAGTAGAAGTGAAGTTTTGTTTTGTGTTTCTATAATGCCTAATTGGGGATGTTGTGTATCTTTTCAAGTGCTTATTTCTTGTATATTTTCTTTGGAGAAATGTCTGTTCGGATTCTCTGTTTTCAAATAAGATATTTTGTCTTTATTGTTATAGTTCTTTATATATTTCTATACATTGTAGATGCAAGTCTTTTATCAGATATGTGATTTGCAAATACTTTCTCATATTTTGTGGACTGTCTTTCCATTTCCTTGAAGCTGTGCTCTGAAGCATAAAGATTTTGATGAAGTCCCGTTTATCTGGTTTTTCTTTTGTTGCATGTACTATTAGGGTCCTATCTGAGAAACCATCTCCTGATCCAAGGTCATGACGATTTATGCCTGTTTTCTTCTTCTTCTTCTTTTTTTTAAATAGTTTATTGTCAAGTTGGTTTCCATATAACACCCAGTGCTCATCCCCACAAGTGCCCTCCTCCATACCCATAACCCCCCTTTCCCTTCCCCCACCCCATCTGCCCTCAGATTGTTCTCAGCATTCAAGAGTCTCTCATGGTTTGCCTCCCTCCCTCTCCCCCACTATTTCCCCCCTTCTTCTCCCCCATGGTTCTTCGTTAAGTTCTTCCTAATCCTCCTATACATGCAAACATATGGTAGCTGTCCTTTGCTGCCTGACTTATTTCGCTCAGAATAACACCCTCAAGGTCCATCCATATTGCTACACATGGCCAGATTTCATTCTTTCTTATTGCCATGTAGTATTCCATCGTATAGATAAACCACAACTTCTTGATCCTTTCGTGAGTTGATGGACACTTAGACTCTTTCCATTGTTTTGTATGCCTGTTTTCTTATAAGAATTTTGTAGTTTTAGCTCTTACATTGAGGATTTGGTCCAGTTTGGGTTGATTTTTGTACCTGGTGTAACTGGTGTGAGGTAGGGGTCCACTTTCATTCTTTTGCAGATAGATACTCAGTTGTACCAGCACTGTCTTTGAAAAGATTGTTCTTTCTCTGTTGACTTGTCTGGGCGACCTTGTCCAAAATCAGTTGTCTGTAGATGTGTGTGTTTATTTCTGTGCTCTCAGTTCTATTCCATTGATCTATATGTCTGAGCTATAATGCCAAGTGGACCTTGACTTTTGCACTTGATCTTTTTTTTTTTTTTTTACAAACAGTTTATTGTCAAATTAGTTTCCACATAACACTCAGCGCTCATCCCCACAAGTGCCCTCCTCCATGCCCATCCCCCCTCCCCCCCACATCCATCAGTCTTCAGTTTTTGTCAGCATTCAAGAGTCTCTCATGGCTTGCCTCTCTCCCTTTACCCCACCATTTCCCCCCTTCTTCTCCCCCTTGTTCCTCCGTCAAGTTCCTCCTAATCCTCCTATACGTGCAAACATATGATATTTGTCCTCTGCCTGACTTATTTCGCTCAGCATAACACCCGCAAGGTCCATCCATGTTGCTACACGTGGCCAGATTTCATTGTTTCTCATTGCCATGTAGTATTCCATGGTATAGATAAACCGCATCTTCTTGATCCATTCGCCTGTTGATGGACACTTAGGCTCTTTCCATGTTTTAGCTATTGTGGAGAGTGCTGCTATGAACATTGGGGTACATGTGCTCCTATGCCTCAGCATTTCTGTATCCCTTGGGTAAATTCCTAGCAGACTTTTGCACTTGATCTTAGCCAAAAGGCAGAGAAGCCATGGACCTTGACTTTTGAACCCCGTGTTTCCTGGATGATCAGGTGCCGTCAAGGCTTGGCTTGTGGGAATTCCCCTTAACCGCTGTAGGGTTGGGATTTGCCTCAGCCTTGAGCCTGATAATACTTCATTATCTGGTTGTTTCTTGAGTGCTGTTAGCATGATGTTTTATTGATGTTATCCAGCACTTTTTCATTGTTTTCGGCAAGAGTCACTTCTAAAAACCTAACCTCTCAGTATAAAAAAGTGGAATTCAAAATCATTTCTCTCTGTTTGTGAAATTTGGGGCAATGTATCCCTGAGACAGTTTACTCTGGGAAGCAGGGAAATGATTCGTGGCGTCTTAAGAAAAGACCGCTCTATTTACTTGCTCTTATAACCAACTTCTTAATAGCTAATCATGGTGGCTTTCATTAATTGAACACTTTTTCTGTCCCAGGCTTTCTGCTGGAGGCGTTACATATGCTCCTTAATCTCATTAACACAATAAACCTCTAAGATGACTGGAATGAGGAAGCTGGGACTCCAGGGGTTCTGAGATTTGCCTGAGGGCACAGGGATAAGCCCAGTCTGTGCCCCAGACCCAGACCCACGTCCTTGACTCCAGAGCCAGGCTCCAAGCCCCTGGGGGCCCCTTTCTATCCTAGTCTCACATTCTCCTTTTACCAAAACGAGCACATTAAGGACTGAGTTTTGCTTTGGCCCCTTTTTCCTGCCCCCTTGTGGTGGGAATGTGAACCGGGACAGGCAGGAGCTCCCCGGAGTTTTCCAGTTTTAGGAATCCTTAGGAAGTCCCTTTAGAACTTCTGATTCCTGGGCTGCAGCTGCAGGGTCCCGAGCGCCAGACAGAACGCGGTGCGCAGATGGGAGGTGTTCACGTGCCCCTGGTGAGTTCCGGTGCACTTGGTCTTGGACTGCGCTTGATGACCCTTTCCTCTATCAGCTCCTTAAAAAGTGGTTGGGACTTCAACTGCTTTTTAAAGAGAGGATTGTATTTAGTACTTTGGATGCCATGTTGTCGGGTAGAAACAAGAATGTTCGAGCCGAGCACCTTTGATGTTAATAAAATGCAATATCCAGTGACTCATTATGTTTGACTATAATTTAGCGGTGGGGGCTGAAGGGAAATTTATTTTAGAGAAGAACGACCTCACCTTCTCTTTGCCTTGCTCCTCCCTCACCCATGTTTTCTCAGATCGTGAAGTGGTCGGACTGCTGTTTGCCATTAGCTTGCAGACCTGGAGACCCTTACCAATTAATCGCTGAAGCAAGCGTGGACAACTTCAGCAAGCTGGGGGTGGCGTTCATGGAAGATAGACTCCAGATGGCTGATGGACTGGTACCCCAAAAGATTGTTTGTGAGTGACTTTAGAAATGTTTCCATCAGGGAAGCCTTGTGGGCTCGGTTTTAAAGAGCATGCTACTCTTGATCTCTGAGTCATGAGTTCAAGCCTCAGGTTGGGTGTAGAGATTCCTTAAATAAACAAAAACTAAAAAAAAAAAAGTTTCCATTATAGCCATTGGTTATTGGCCTAAGAACTGTTGAGCCCTCTTGGTGGATGTGGCTTAAGGTCGATGCTTATCTTTAATGCATTCAGGGAGTTGGATATAATTATAATAGTATGAAGTTCATTTGCATGTCAGGTTTTTTTGAGGTGCTTTTAAAATTTTCATAAATTTTAATTTTTAAAAATTTAGTCATTTTTAAAAATATTTTGAGAGAGAAAGCACGTGAGCGAGCATGCGAGATAGCACGCAAGGGAGGGGCAGAGAGAGGGAGAGAGAGAATCCCAAGCAGGCTCCATGCTGTCAGTGCAAAGCCTGACACAGGGCTCAATCTCGTGAACCACAAGATCATGCCCCAAGCCGAAATCGAGAGTCATGCTCAACTGACTGAGCCACCCACCACCCCCATTCTAAATTTTTAAACCAGGATTTCCCATAATTGCACTGTCTGTGAGATGCTGTGCAAACGTAGGAGCCATATAATATTTGTTTCACACAATCTAAAAAGTGTAACTAGTTTCTAGACTGTAGTTCGATTGAATGGAAAGCATAGCCAGTGTTACTTCAAAGATCTAAATCTAGGAGTTTTTGAATTAAAAAAAATGTATTATAATATTTTGGGACACATCTTTTTTTAGGCAACATGCAAAATGTTCTTCCTTAATTAGGCTTAAAAATTGGGTTTCTGTGTCCATGAAAGCCTTCATTTGTATCTTGCTCAAATGAGTATTACTAGCTCTGGAAATCTGTGTAAATCACTTAATTTCCCCATTTGGCATGTACGTGTGCTTGATACCATGGCAGATGTGTAGCAAGTACTCAATAAATGTTTAAAAATTTTTAAAAATGTTTATTAATGTTTGTTTATTTTTGAGAGAGAGAGAGAGAGAGAGGGAGGGAGGGGCAGAGAGAGAGGGAGACACAGAATCTGCAGCAGGTTCCAGGCTCTGAGCTGTCAGCACAGAGCCCGATGTGGGGCTCAGACCCATGAGCTGTGAGATCATGACCTGAACTGAAGTCAGATGTTTAACCGACTGAGTCACCTAGGTGTTCCACACATGCGCGCGTGCGCGTGTGTTTTAATGTTTATTTTTGAGAGAGACAGAGCATGAGCAGGAGATGGGCAGGGAGAGAGGAGGACAGAGAATCCAAAGCGGGCCCTTAGCTGACAGCAGCAAGCCTGATATGGAGCTTGAACTTACGAACTGCAGAGATCGTGACCTGAGCCGAAGTCGGACTCTTAACCGACTGAGCTGCCCAGGTGCCCCATCAGTAAATCAGCGATTGTGAACGTCTGTTCAGTCCTGAGATAAGGTACTGCAAAGGCTCCTCTTCCCCACGGATCCGATGAAGTGTCCCCAAGAGCACCTGCTGCCTGGGCTGTGCCTGCACACACTTGACACAGACCTTTTTTTGTTTCTCAGTTTCATTCTCTTCTAGGAGACGGATGCCCAGGAAATGGAATCTGTAAGTAAGCAGGCGCGGTGACCTCTCTGGTTCACCTGGGACAGGTGTCGTGGAAACGTGGGATTTCACTGGGAGGGGTCGTCAGGCACTGCCTCCCCGCCAGCAGGCGGGGGCAGTGACGTGGATCCAGAGGACACCGCAGAGTTGTGGTGGGGACGCAGGCAGGACCGGCAGGTGGGCCGCCCTGGTGCGGGAGTCACGTGTGGAAGGCACCACGTGGTCTTGAAATGAGCTGCGTGACGAGCCAGGAGAGTTGACGGGTTGTCTCTTCTGTTTGTATTTCAGCAGTGCACTTGCAGGAGGTCACTTTGAAGGCACTTAAGGGTCAGGCCTCCAACAAGCAGGCCCAGATCCTACAGCGGAATCCTGAACCTTCCATTGAGAGCAAGCCCGAGCCGGACGTTATGGAGCACGCTGGTGGACATGACCTCAAGGCTCTTGGCACACGACCCACGCAGGGGAAGGATGGTACCTCGGGCAGTGAGCCTGCTGGAGAGGATGACAGAGGAGTGGACTCCGTCGAGCACTGTCACCTCCACCTGTCTAGTTGCCATGAGTGTCTGGAGCTTGAGAACAGCACCATTGAATCTGTCAAGTTTGCATCTGCAGAGAAAATTCCAGATCTTCCGTGTGACCCCAGTGGCAGGCTGGAGGACATTGCTGATGACCCCCACCTGGAGAGAGAAGGGGGGAGAGCCAACATCACGGGAAAGGCCCCCAACATCCTTTTCTACGTGGGCTCTGCCTCCCAGGAGTCCCTGGGCCGGTTCCGGGAGGTGCGGTCCGTTCTGGCTGACTGTGTGGACACGGAGAGCTACACGCTGTACCACCTGTCAAGGGAAAGTGCCCTCCGAGACCCGTGGTCAGACAACTGTCTGTTGTTGGTCATTGCCACCAGGGAGGCGATTCCTGAAGACCTTTCCAAGAAGTTCATGGCCTACCTTTCTCAGGGAGGGAAAGTGTTGGGGCTGTGTTCGCCCTTCACGCTTGCCGGCTTCCCAGTGGCCAGTAAGGGCGCGCTGCGGGACACAGTCCAGAACTTGGTTTTCTCCAAGGCTGACCAGACCCACGTGAAGCTCAGCGTCCTGAGCAGTGGCTACGTGTATGAGGAGGGCCCTGGGGGAGCGCTCAGCCTGGGCAAGCTCCAGGGCCACCTGGAGAATGAGGACAAGGACAGGCTGATAGTGCAAGTGCCTTTTGGACCATGCGGAGGAGAAGCTGTTCTTTGCCAGGTATGGAGGCCGCTGTCCACGCAGGGATCTTTGGGGATGTCTGACCGCAAGCACACTCCCTATCTAAGGCCGTGCACTGAAAGGGTCAGGAGTCTGTGCTCCGTGGGTACTTTTGATCCTTAGCTGGGAGTTTTTGCTGATGGTGAGTCGGTATAGATGAGGGCCTTCATGTCATAGGAATATCCAGTTTCACCAAAACACTCGTGGTGGAGGGACATGGCAGAGGGTGTCACGGCCAATTAAAGTTTCTTGGTTAATGGAGGATTAGTCAGAAAATTCTTTCCTGTTTTGACCTGTCCTGGTACTGGTCTTTCCAAAATACATTAGATTACTCTTTTGTCTCCAAGCACAATGTAATCGAGCCTTTAGGTAACATAGGGAGTTGAGTTCCTTGGGCTGGTGATTTCCAGCGTTAGTAACCACCTCATGCCAGCATTGTAGTTGATGTCAGGGACTACGGGAGCGAATGCTCACCAACTTCTGGGGTAGTGAGTGTTGAAAACACTTCAAGTCCTCCATTCTTTTATGACTTTTGGTCACTCTTAAAACCTAAGTGCTGAGAGAAATTTCAAATAGAATATTGAAGCGATTTGGTTTTATGGCAAATTAATACAACCCATCCTGAAATAACACAGCTTTAAACTGCATGGGTCCAGTTGTGTGGATATTTTTGGTTAAATACAGTATAGTACTATAAATGTATTTTTTGTTCCTTCTGATTTTCTCTCTCTTTTTTTTTTTTATTTTCGTGAGAGAGAGAGTGAGCGTGAGTGTATGCGAGTGGGGAAGGGGCAGAGAGAGAGGGAGAGAGAATCTTGAGCGGACTCCAAACCCAGTGTGGAGCCTGATGTGGGGCTCGATCCCATGACCCCGAGATCATGAACCAAGCCAAAATCAAGAGTCAGATGCTCGACTGACTAAGCCACCCAGGTGCCCTATATTCCTTATGACTTTTTTAATAGTTTCCTTTTCTCTAGTTTACTTTATTGTAAGAATAGAGTATAAATACATGTAATATACAAAATACATGTTACTCGACAGTTTATGTTATTGGTAAGGCTTCCGGTCAACACTAGGCTGTCAGTTAAGCTTTGGAGAGTAAAAAGTTAATATGCATGTTTTCAGCTGCCTGGTAAGATTCACACCCAGCCCACACATTGTTCAAGGGTCAGCTGTATATAGGTAAGGAGAAAGAGGGAAGGAAGGAAGGAAGGACATACTACTTCCCTTCCGATCCCTTCCCAAAACCTTCGGTTTTTTTTCCACCTTCTTTTTCCTTTCAGTTTTTTCTTTGTGTAAGATGGAAGTAGGAGAGGCTGTTTCAAAATTCCTGATCATTATTGCAAACTTTTTAATGGCTCAGGGCAGAAGTTTTTGTTAGTTAGATGAACACTTGTTCTTAAGGATTTGTTTTTCTTTTCTTTTTTTTAACAGAGTGTGAGTGGGGGAAGAGCAGAGAGAGAGGGAGACACAGAATCTGAAGCAGGTTCCAGGCTCTGAGCCATCAGCACAGAGGTTGATGCAGGGCTTGAACTCACAAAACAGTGAGATCATGACCTGACGCTTAACTGACTGAGCCACGCGTGTGCCCCTTAAGGATTTATCTTAAATGAGAATACTGAGTAGGTGTAGGTATTTTGCCCAGAATAGTTCCCAGATGAGTGTAACAGATTTTGTTTTATTACAGGGATCTTTTTATTGAATTAGAGATTTGTTTCTTTTTTTTTTTCTTGTTTATTTTTATTTCATATGCTGTCCTAGGAGCTAAGTCTCTTGGGTTTTCTGACCAAATAGCTTCACGGGGGTATAAAGTTGTCTCTTTACAATTCCAAAGTCCACTCACTTGTTCTTAAGCTAATGCTCCGGCAAAGATGCCTCCAGTGACGAAATCTGGACATCAGGGTAGATGAGCGTGCACAAGCCAAGTAGGATTCATGTAGGCTGCAAAGCACGTGAATTAGTTTGGAGGCCTAATAAACGTTCCTCTTATCTTTTTCTCTGCAAAGATGGTAACTATAGCAACTGTGCATTCTCAGACAATCCGCTTAAAAACCTGACTTCCTAGAGCCGTATTTCAGTTTTGAATGGTGACTTATACCACCCCTGTGCACAGACTTGTACTAGAAAATTGATTCGGCACTGTTGCGATCCATTTCTCGGAGTTACGTGGCAACTCTGTTGGCTGCACCATTTAAATCGACCCTGTTACCACCATAAAATTTGATACCGCATGCATCGCTCTAGAAAAAGAGGCAATACGATGCAGCTTCAAAAATCGGATTCAGAGGATTAGATGCAGTTTTTGATTTTCAGTGACATCCAGTCTCTGTGCGACAGGCTCACTGCTTTCTTCTCAGGCCTGTGTCACTACAATCTCTTGCTGCTGAGATCGGCCAATGAATGTTATCACAGGCTGGTTAGTTTCCTCTTTCCTTGGTCAATTTCGTAGTTTTCGTCTCCAGTAAATGGAGCAATGATGTAACCCAGTAAGAGGGCACAAAGCACTTCAAGGGCAAACCACAGCCGCACAGTAGGTGGCGGTCTCACGGCCCAGGAGCTGCGTGTGGACGCCTTTGCCCTTCATCATAATAAAGAAAAAGGACATTTCCGTGTGCTTGCTATAATGATCAGGTTTGCAGGGGAAATATAAGGCCGTGGGTTCGTGCTGACATTTGATTATCAAATGGACCAGGTCTTTGGCATGAAGCTGCTCAAATGAATGTCTCTCAAACGGATTTAAATATATTTTATTTCCTCCTGTGGTTTAGCACATGGGAGCAGCGGTGTGGCAATTACAGTGACGTTTCTCAGCCGTGGCACTGGTGACATTTGGTGCTGGTCCCGCCTTGTTGTGAACTCATCCGCGCACTGGAGGGTGTTAGCAGTGTTACCCACCAGATGCCCGTAGCACCCGCCCCCCATCCAAGTCCCCCCAGTTTGTGACTGGAGATGCTTTAGTTCTGCTTTTGGTGTGGTCAAAAAGCCTTAATTTTAGAAGAAGCCAAGTGATAGAAATGGACCCATCGGTATGATAACGGTATTCCAGCCTGAGGGTGTGACATTTGTCGGGTGCCACAGGGGACCAGTAGTGCAAATCCGGAAGCACATGCTTTTCTGTCCTGGGAACTGAGGCCTCGATTCCTCCCCAGGAGGGAGCCCTTCTCACTTGTCGTAGAAGTGCTGACTCTTGAAGCCCACGCAGGCACTCCTCACACCATGTCGGTGTCACCTCCTGGAGCCCCGGAGGCCCGCCTGTGGGGTGAGCCCTCCTTGTCCTCGGCGTCTCTTCCCGGTGACAGGGAGTTCAGCACACCTCACGTGCGTGCTTCTCGCATCTTCTGTGTATCACTCAGCCTGGGGTGTGCGTGTGCCGTTCATCACGCTCACCCCTCTCCCCTGAGCCCACGTGGCTCCTTTTATTTCTGCCTTCTGTAAGGGGTGGGTAAGCTCCAGGAGAGCCGCGTGCTCCCATGAGTTGAACGTGGCCCTCAGCTCTGCTCATTGCCCCAGCGCTGGCTTCGTCCACGGGAGGGGAGAGGCCGTCTTTAGGGAGAGAACGCAGGGGAGAAGGAGACTCGGCAGGCTTTGGATGCTTTGAAGGATTTTACTTTTCTCCCTCCTCTCCCGGGAGGAGGACAGACTCACCCCTGCTTCAGTGGCCAGCTGACCTGCTGTAGTGGGGGTTTGGGGGTAGTTAGGAGGTGGTGGGGGGGAGGGGCATGCAGGACAGTCTTTACAGACCTTTTCAGATTCACCATTAACTTTGAACAGTTGGACCATTTTGGACAGTATTTTTTTTTAAATTTTTTTTACATTTATTTATTTTTGAGAGACAGAGTGAGACAGAGTGTCAGCGAGGGAGGGGCAGAGAGAGAAGGAGACACAGAATCTGAAGCAGGCTCCAGGCTCTGAGCAAGCATTCAGCATAGCCCGACATGGGGCTCGAACCCATGAAGTATGAGATCATGACCTGAGCTGAAGTCGGTCGCTTAACCGACTGAGCCATCCAGGTGCCCCAAGGACAGTATTTTTAAGTTGGTGAAGGCTTGGGTGGGAATTGAGAGATTTTACATTGCCTGAAGGCGGACACCTTGCTTTTTGTTTTCACAGTGCTCCTATACTATCGGGTCAGGAGCTCTGCGGATGAAGCGAAAGCAGACCCCTGGCAAAATAAGATAAAGCAAACTTGCTTACGTTGTTCAATGTTTTGGCCGCCTCTAAGACTCTAAGGGCCACTTAAAATCTGATCTCAAGAGGGCCAGAAGTTCTAGTCTGTTCCTTTATACCAAGGCACACACCACTGCTAGGAAAGTTCTAGCTGAAGGGAGCTAAAGATCTAGCATGTTTCTTCAGACCAAGACACAGACCACTTGTTGATAGGTGGGGCTGTTTTAATTTCAAGTAGACAACAAAGCCTGAACTAGGTAGAAGTCCTGAATCTTAAATTCAATCAGAGGGTTGTGGGGTGGGCCTTTCTGGGGTCCCTCAAACCCCACTCTTTCCATCCGAATGCCTGCAGACCCTCAAAATGGTGAACAAGCTACTCCCCTCCCTGGTATGGTTCCCCAGCGGTTATGACTAACAGGTAGAGCGAGAGTTTCAACATGACCGTCACGCCTCTCGGAGTTCAATAGGGACTTCACTTGGATTCTCAGCACAATTCTATTTCTTCTTCTTTTTTTTAATTTTTTTTTTTTTTTTTGAGAGAGAGAAAGAGAGAGAGAGAAAACGTATGCGCGTGAGCATGAGTGAGTGCAGGGGAGGGGCAGAGAGAAAGGAATCCAAAGCAGGCTCCACACTGTCCGTGCAGAGCCCAAACCAGGGCTTGAACCCACGAATCGCCACCTGAGCCGAAGTCAGAAGCTCCACCCACTGAACTGCCCAGGTGCCCCCGTGCAATTGTGTCTCTAAGCATTTTGGTCTTGGTCAAATAATCAAGTTAAGCGACTTGCCCAAGGTCCCCTGACAGGTCGGTGACAAACGCCGGGGCCTGGACAGAGTCAGATCACCACTTGGGCCCGTTTCTAGCCCTGCTTTTCCGCCTGACAGCCACCAGTTCAGCCGGCTCCTTTGAGTCTTTTTCTTGCTTGTCATTATTCTTCAAATGTTCAAGTCCAACATTTAGGTATTGTTGATAATTAGGACTCCTGTTTAAGTTTTCAGAAAAGCTGGCGATTATCTTGTTTCTGTCGAGGTCAGTAAATGCCCCGATTTACCAAGTGGTGTCTTTTCCTCCCCAGGCGCACTTAGAACTGCCTCCCAGTTCTTTGGTGGTGCAAGTCCAGGAAGACTTCAATCTGCTCAAGTCAAGCAATACGAGAAGATACGAAGTCCTTAGGGAGATCCTGACAGCGCTGGGCCTGAACTGTGACCTAAAACAGGCTCCTGCCCTAACGCCTCTTTACTTGCTGTCTGCCGCTGAGGTGAGTTGTGTGCTCAGCCCAGAAGGGGGCGCCTCGGGTACCTTTCTTCCCCGCGGAGACCCTTTTCCTCAGGGGTCCCGTTGCGGTGGGTTTCGGTGTTGATTTCTGTTTTTATTTTGACTTCAGGTTTGGGAACTGTTGTAAAGATCTCCAAGGATAACTGATATTATTGGTGTTTGTAAAGGAGGGAGGGAGAGAAGGTAGTTTAGAAGGTATTAAAACTTCAAGGTCATATCCTATTCACTTTAGGGTAAAAAAAAGGATCCCTCTTTCGTGTGTCGAGAGCGTGTTTGGAAACCACAGTGTATTCATTTGAGATTTAAAACCTCTGATTTGGGCCTTTCTCCGTGAATAGTTGGACGGGAAAACTCCCAAGTTTTGTTTCATTTGTGCTGACGTCTGCCATCTTGTGGCGGAAGAGGGCCCTGGATTTCAGGTTAGATCTAGTGGTGTCTAAAAAGGAAAATGCCCGTGCAGCTGGGAGTGTATTCAGGAATGTTCCTGGTCTTGTGTCTGCATTTGATGCCTGTGGTTGTTACCTGGTTTGGGCAGGTTGCCAAATTCTCTAGGGGTGCCTCCTGCTAACCCCCTTTGCTTTGCTTGGCCTTGCCAAGGTGTCGATGTCTTATTAATCATGGCAGATTATTTTGTGGGTCTTTTTCTTGTCTCCTCTCAGTGGGGAAATTTGGGAGTTCAGTGACGTAACCGTGCAGTTTTAGCAGATATCTGATCGTCCAGGTGACTCTAAACACCAGGCTTACCTGCTTGTCTCCCTTGTCTCCCTCCTCACCCTTGTCCCTCTCCCCACTGCGTGCATATGCATGCTTTCTCTGTCTCTCTCTCAAAAACAAATAAACATTAACAAATTTTTTAAAATGTTTTATTTATTTCTAGGAGAGAGAGAGACAGCGTGAGCAGGGGAGGGTCAGAGAGAGAGGGAGTCACAGACTGAAACAGGCTCCAGGCTCTGAGCTGTCAGTCAGCACAGAGCCCGACACGGGGCTCGAACCCACGAACTGTGAGATCATGACCTAAGCGAAAGTCGGATGCTCAACCGACTAAGCCACCTAGGCGCCCCTAAAAATTCTTTTTAGAAAGAAAAGGAATTCCCATTTAAGTTATACTCTGTCCCTTGGCAAACTTAGTTTCCAGTGGAGACCAGAGCTGTAAGCTGTCTGGTTGGGATGTGCTCACTTGTAGAAGATTGGTATAAACTCCGAGGGATGTAGAATTAAGACACCTTACAGGATTGGGGCTCCTGGGTGGCCCAGTGGATTGACCTGCTGACTTCGGCTCAGGTCGTGATCTCGCAGCTCATGGGTTCAAGCCCTGGGTCAGGCTCTGTGCTGACAGCTCAGAGCCTAGAGCCTGTGTCTCCGTCTCTCTCTGCTCCTCTCCCACTTGCATGTGTGCGTTCATTCTCTCTCTCTTTCTCTCTCAAAAATCTGTAACATAAAAAAATTAAGAAAAGATACCTTATAGGATTGTATGAGGTCTACAAGAGATAATTTCTACAAGAGGTATGTGCCTGGGTGGATCCGTCGGTTAAGCATTCAACTCTTGGACATGGTTTCATGATTGTGAAATTGAGCCCCGAGCCTGCAGCCTGCTTCGGGTTCTGTGTCCCTCTCTCTCTCTGTCGGCTCCTGCTTGTGCTCACTCTCTCTCTCTCTCAAAAATAAGTAAACTTAAAAAAAAAAAAAAGTCCAATGGTTAATAGTAGTATTATTAGGTTATTGAGAGTTTTGATAAATTAAATGTGTATAATGTACCTGATGCCCAGTCTAAAAATAGGCTGCAGGTAATGTTTTAAATTTTAAAAATGAATCATATTGCAATGGATGATTTTTTTTTTCATTTAAGAAACATTCTTTTATTGCATTTTCATTATGGTTTTTAGCCAGTTTGCACTCTTTTTAATGAGTGCTCTTAGGAATTAAAGCGATGATTTTGGTTTTGTGCCTTCCACTCAGGAATTCAAAACATGTCATTTGTCTCTCTGTGTTCAGCTAATAGGAGGAAAAGCATCAGGTCTATGTCGTGACTTTTGTCAAAATAAAGTGGGACCTCAGAGGCTCAGCTCCTGTAGACGACCCGCCTGTGGTCCCTCCTGCTTTGGAGGGATGGGGCCGAGCCTCATGGATACGGGTTACTGGTCCCAGGAGAGATGTGACTGTCACTTTTAAATCTTCTCTGTCCCCCCTTTCCCGAGACTGCAAATGCGGGCAGGTGTCTGCTTGTTCTGAGGTCACGGAGCCAGACAGACCAGGCCTGCCCTTGGCAGGCGTCTTTGATCTTTCCTGGTTTTTCCTACCTACCTGGCCTTGGGACTCCCTCCTCTGGACTCTGACGTATCAGTGAAGAGGAAACCGTGTTCCCAAGGTTTGCGTTTAGGCATTTCCTGTGTCTTTAGGATGAGCAGAACCCGAAATACCTAAGCAGAGGCTTTGTATCGTGCGTCTGCTTATATTAACATACCCAGTAGATGCTTTATATTTTTGCCCTTTTGTTCCTTTAGACCGCCTGTGGGGGGTGGGGGGGCGAGATACGTTTCCCTCCTACTGACTGGTACCTTCATTCACAGACCTTGGGAATGAAATGTTTGAACCAGATGGAAACAAGTACTTGTTCTACATACAGATACACAAATACCCTATACAGGCATCAAACCGACCAAGTTCCTTATTACATAACTAGGGAAGAGCAGTTTTCGGGAACGTTCTCTTCTCATTTCGGGTCATCCAGTTGGCCTGCTTGATCTTGGAGACCTATCCTGTGGATAATACTTTCTCCGGACTGCTTTTCTCCGAGTTCCTCTGTACTTTGGGAGCCCAGGGAACCAAGTGAGTGAGCATATGAGTGTTGTGTATATGCATTTCTTATTTTATTACTCCTCCTAGAAGACTTTGAATCTGCTGCTAAAGGAAATACAAGAATTCAGGACGTTAGAGTATGTTTTCCTGGGATACAAAATCTTTAAGGGATTACGATGCAAATGAATATGAAAGCGGATGAATGCTCGCTGACTTTGATGGTGTTTCTGGAGGCAGCTGCTCAGTTCCCCGGGCTGTCCTCTTAATGTCAAGGTGGAGACATTTAGGAACATCTGGTCATTGTGCGGTGGTGGCTCAGCATTTTCAGCTTTTAGAGATAGCTGGGGATGACAGATTGGGAACAGAGCTGGGTCATGCTTTCTGTTTGGTTTTCTTTCCTGCGGCTCTTACTAGTTCTCATTGATCTCCATGTAATTAAGGTACGTGGGAGGATGTTGGCATCCCGGCATCTGTAATACACGGCCCATCCTTGACTCATCACCTGCCTTGCAGATTCGATGCCTGCCCTGGCTCCCTGCTCCCTGCAAAAAATAACTCTGTGCTGTTGAGAATCAACCACCTCTCACCACACGGTGTCGCTGCTGAGCCAGGCTGCCTGGTGGACAGGCTCCTCTGTTCAGAGATTTTTTTTTTTCTTTCTGCATCAGCTTCACAGACTGTAGTAGTTTTCCATTGTATTGGTGGCACTTTCTTTTGGATCTGTAGGATTATTTCGGTGCCCCAGTTAATAATATCCATCTTCCATTAAACATTTGCTGCATACGGGTCCTATTCCAGGACGGAGTGTGAAAGAAGAAAGTAAACACACTATCTGAATAGTTTTACGGCATACCAGCTGTGTTTACACAGTTTGGTGCCCAGGCCCTCGCTCTTTATGGTACAGAAGATTTACGAGGCCTCTCTGAGCTTCCACATTGCCATGACACAAAGGGAAAAGAATAGCATGGCGATCCAGGTAGGGAAAAAACCCCACTCACCCGCAGCACAGTCGACTCCTGGTGTTTGCTGGGGATGTGTTCCGAACCTTTGCCCACACCCACACCCCACTGCAGCATGTGATTTCCCCTATAAAATCCAGTCACGTAGGGCCTCATAAGCGTCACCATGCATGACACCACGAGAAAGCAGGGCTCTGTGGAAGTGCAGGCTCTGGGTGCGCGGGGGCTTCCCGGTTCATTGAAACACCCAGGGGCAGGATTGACGTGCAGGCGTCGGCAAAATTATGCCCTGTCAAAGCCGACAAAACACACGAACACGTGTATGCCACACGCACGTGTCTACAGAAAAAAGACTGGAAGGAAACACAGTATGTATAGGGTGTGTTTCTGGACGGTGGGGTTAGTTAAGGCTGATTATACTAAACTTTTGTATTTTTAAAATCTTCCGTAATGTGCTTAAATATCTCCTCTTTCAAACGGTAGAAGCTGCTTTTTGTGCGTTGGCCTAAGGCTGTCACATCTAAGGCGGGTGGGGGGATGGGTCACCTAGGGGATGGGGCTTAGCTGATGAGCCCCAGTGTTGTATGTGAAGTGTTGAATCACTAAATTGTATACCCGGAACTAGTATTGCACTGAATGCTAACTAACTGGAATTTAAATTAGAACTTCAAAAAAAAAAAAAAGCAAGGACCGTTGTGTAGATATTGATAATTTATATTTAATATTCGACATCAATAATTTATTTTTTAAAAAATGTTTATATTTTTGAAAGAGAGGGAGAGAGGATGCAAGTGGGGGAGGGAGAGAGAGAGAGAGAGAGAGAGAGGGGCAGAGAGGGGCATAGCAGATCTGAAGTGGGCTCTGCACTGACAGCAGAGTCTAACGTGAGGCCTGAACTCAGGGACCAGGAGGTCATAACCTGAGCCAAAGTTGGATGCTCAACCACTGAGCCACCCAGGCGCCCCTACATTAATTACTTGAAAAGCACCAGCTTTGCTAGTAATGCCTTGGCCCTGGTGAGAGGCTGCTTCCTGCTACACTGCTGGTTTAGCTGTGGCTCCCATGTTTCTGGGTGGGCGCCACAGGCATCAGCAATGCATTCACACAGTACTACGGGGGGCCTGGGGAAGCGCATAATTCAGGTGCCTTTGTCCCCGCGTGGATGTTTCTCTATGGAACCCCTGAACCGTTTCTCAGAGAACCACACGTGTGCTGACATCCACACAGT